GAGAGAGAGAGAGAGAGAGAGAGAGAGAGAGAGAGAGAGAGAGAGAGAGAGAGAGAGAGAGAGAGAGAGACAGTAGCCAATCGGTTTGCTTCTGTTCATATCTCAGCTTAAGTTTGAAGAGAAATCCTTACTGTGAGCTCTCACTAACTATATAGTTAACAGCAACAACACCATTTTTTTTTCCCATCGGTTTCTTAGATCGCAAGTGTGTGATTCTCATTCTAAAGCACTATCATTAGTATAAAGGACAAAACATTCGGTGACTCCCCGCCCCCGCCCGCGGGCCCCCGCCCCAAAGCTACCTACACTAAATCTAGAACATCGTTAAGTTTTTTTTTTTCTTCCTGAAAAAAGGCAAAAAAGACTTTACATTGCATCATACAGCAGATATCCTAAATCAGTCACACTATCAGGGGAAACTGTCAGTGTACAGTCTTACAAACAATTTACCCTATTAAAAGTCCCCCAGTCAGAAAACGTGTTTCACACAAAAGTTTTCCCTCCTTGCACTTCACTACCTTACACGTTATGTGAAAAATCATTAAAAACACCTACTACATATTTAAAAAAGCCAAAATTTCAGCAACTTTTATTGACTACCTTTTAAAAGCCCTATGCTGCTGTTTTACAAGGCGTAATAGACCAGCCCATTTGGTCAAAGCATTCTACATCATTAGGTTGAACTAACTTTACTGAAACAGCTACAGCATCAAAAGAGTTAAGGCAAATTGGAATTCATAGAAAAGGATAAGACACTTCACACTACGTCGAAAGCAAAATGGAAAGCTAAGTAAAGACAGTGAGGCCAACACTGAGTTACAGCGACACTTGCAAGCACGGAACACCATGGGTGAAGTCAGACAACTGAAACTTCAGAAAGCCCATTTCATACAGCTGAAAAAAAAAGACAAATTAAACACAAAATGAACAAAACCACAAAAATCCGGTCATGCACTTGGATAAGTCTTCGTGGTCTTTGTGCATACCCAGAAAATTGAAGTTTTCTTTTTCTGTTTTTTTTTCTTTTTTTTTTTTGCATCATTATATTTGATAAAAATCTTTGATTTTTTTTCCTTTTTTTTTTCATTTTGTTTTTGTTTTTTACTAAAATAAACCTGTTCAGGGGAACAGCTACTAGATGAATTTAGGGGTTTTATGCACCTTATAGAACTTATAGCAAAAATAGTTTTAGTTGATTTCATTATAAATAACGTTTTCAAGAACCTGTGCAAAACTGTCAATAATTTCCTAAAGCACAATTGATCAGAAAAATCCATGATTGTTCAGCCTTCACACCCTTCTTCATGTAAGAACTCCCTTCGGTACATCTGGAAGAGAAAGATAAAAGACCAATGTCTTTGCTGATTTAATGAACAGGTGGCAGTGCTTCGTCATCTTTTGTCTTAAAGAGATGAAGGCCGTGCTCATCCATGGTGACAGACGGAGCGACATAAATTGGGGACCTGGGGATCGCTTTCAATTTCTTGAGTCTACCTTTCAAATTTGGGACTTGCAAGATATTTTCTTCCTCAAGGGAGCCACAGCCAACTCCACACATGGGTCTCAAAGGGTGACTTGGTGAGACCAACAAACAACACATACTGTTACCAGACAGTCCAGAAACTGGATTCCATATAGTTATTTGACTAAGATACGCATGGTAGAGTGAAGTTTGAAGTTTGTGACTCCAGTGAGAGCTACTAATGTAATCTTTTGCTCCAAGGATGCTAATAATCTGAATTCATAGCTGAGATGTTGCTGATCACGTGAGACTTAAGTAGGCAACATCTTACGCTTTATCTTCCTTAGTATTTAAGCAATATCACAGAAGATGCTTCTCTGATAGGACAATTTTGGGACCCAGTATGTTCTATGATGCCTTAGATTTTATGAATTTTGAGGTAGAGAAAAACATATTTTATTTCAATATAAAGCATCGTTTGTTATCTAGACAGAATCTAGAAATTCATCAACACATTAGATCTGAGTTATTCTAAGCATCGTTTGATAACAGTACCCCAGACTGCTTCATTTGAGCCCTGCAGTTACAGACTTTTCCCTCATACCTCACAGTTACTTATTGGGTGGAAAGGTATATGGAGAATGGTCATTAGACGTCTCCACAGCCACCTGCTGCTGGCCACTTGCTTCCTACAACAGAGCAGAATGCATGAGACATGTTAGCAATGAAATTTTAACTCTGCTGCTAAGGCCCGAGTCCAAGGACATACACCTTAGTACAAACACTCTTCAAAGTGAATTTCTTAAAAGTCAAATAGAGCTTTTAAAGGCCTTAATGCAGATGAAATACGACAGACCCCACGAACCTCCCATCCAAATGTTTAACTTAAATATTGATCAAAGAAATCTCTTGGCTTTGTCTCCTTGGAGCCACATAAAGTTTATATTTCAGTTATTTTCAGATTTGGAGTCTGAGACACAGGGTGTATATGTTGTGTGTCGTAGGCCCACCCCTTGGAAGGCATCAGATATACCTTACAATCTCAATACTTATACGCTGAAAATGTCCATCAACTCAGTAAATGGTGCAGGGCATGAAACCTCAGTGACTAGAGATGGAAGGCGGAAGGGTTACAAGTTTACAGCCTGCTTGGCTTACAGAGTGAGGTCATGACTTTAAAAGGGTTATGGACATAGCTCAGTGGCAGAACAGTTGCCTGGCATGTGAGAGGCTTTGACTGTACCTCTAATAAAATAAGAATAAAACAGTAAAAAAAACAAAACAAAAAAAAAACCAAAGCCCTTTGGACATTTTGCTTTGTCTCAGTTCAAATTGTGTTTGAAAAGTCACAGGTCAGGCTTTGCTGAAGTAGTTTCAGAGAAAATTTTTGTTTTCCACTGTTATGGAGGCCTCATGTTGTGAAGAACTGCACATAAAAAGCTGTGGGTTCAGGTAGTTGTTGTTCAAAGTTGTATGATCATGTAAAGAATACAACCCCAATTCTCAGAAACCTCTGGGATCTGCCTCCCAGGTCAGATAACTAGACCCGTAACTTCCCTGGACTCTTGAGAATACTTTGCAGGTAAATGCTATGCTTCCTGTCTAACCATCATTCAGGCAGGCATCAGACTTCTTCAAATACAATATATTCCAAAATAATAACGAGGAGCAGTTAGCCATAGAAACAGGTATGGTTTTACATACTTGTTACAATTTAGAAATACAAGGTTTCTTTTTTTTCCATTATCTGAATTATGACTGGTTTCTTTCTGTAATTATTATCACTGATTCAATCTTTAGGACTAGAATTGCAAACTCCAATTTTACTTTAATATGCCTGTAAGTATCATTTTGGGATAAGTCAGTCCTTCAAGTGGCACAGAATGTGCTACAAGACTGGAAAGGTACGTGGTCTGGATGTTGTAATACTGATTTGCATAGGGAGAATATGCTACAGTTCAAAAATAGTACCAAGGGCATACTCTTTCTACATCCATTTCTTTATGTAAATGTTTGTTTGTTTGTTTGTTTGTTTGTTTTTCCTTTTCTGAAGGATGGTCTAGCTATGTAGGCTAAGCTGGCCTGAACTTGTCGATCCTCTTGCTTTGGCCTCTCTGGTGCTGGGATAACAGGCATGTGTCACTGTGTCTTGATAAACTATTTGACTCTTGATAACCTGTTTCTGTTGTCCTATTTAGATGACTCAGATGTAAAAGTACCCACTGCCACAGGGGCCACTTGGATGTTCTATACCAACCTCAACGGGAACCGCCGCAGTCTGCATGTGTGTATACTGTGGCAAGTAGGCTCCTTGCATGGCTGATGTTGCAGGCATGTACTGAAAAGGAGAAGGTGTAGGTAGTCAGGGTATGCAGAGGCAGGTCATGCAAAGGTCAGATTACTGGGGTGTGGGTGGTGGTACAGGGACGGATATAAAGTACTTAGAAGGTTCAAAGAATGCATCTACTGGGCAGCCCTTAAAGCTGAAAGGCAAAGGAAAATGTTTTCAACCCATTACACTGAAAACTCGGTGTTTCTTTGAATTTATCAACAACAAAACAATGTGCCCATGTGAAAGTCACTAATGTTTCTCATCTGCAGTAATTTAGTTATCATCAGTGTATCGGAAACATCTCTCCTCAAGGGGCCATGCTATTTTCTGGTCACTCCCTAAGTTGATACCTCATACTGTCTGTGCAGGGAGAGACCTGAAGGAACTACAGATAAGGCCAGGCAGCCATACTTAGTTGATTCCAGCAGTCTCATTTCCCAAAGACAGGTGGGGTCTGGGGCCTCCTTCTGGGCTGTGTGTTGTTCTGCATTCACTTTCATGAGAAGCTGTGGCTGGTTTTCAGAGTAAGCGGGGAAAACACAGTACCCTTTGCCTTTCACAGACCCAGGCTGCACTGAATGCCTTTGTCCACCTTTTACATTCTACACTACAATTACCAAGCTGCCAGCCGGCCTCGTATTAACTCAGCCTTATATCCCAACCCAATCCCTCGGAGTGCAGGAGAACAAGTCCCTATGGGAACTGCATTCAGGGCTGCAACACTGCACAAAAGAATAAGCAGACACCACCTGCCTGCCCACCATGCACGCCTGCATCTTTCCCCTTGGTGACCTCTACCCTGTAACATGGGTTACAAAATCTAGACATGGGCATGTATGGGTGCTGTGTGACTGAGCAAGAAGGACCCAGAGATAGACTTACAAGTTATCAAGTTTTCTGAGTACCATCTTACTTTTTAGAAATCAGTGCCAGATGGGGGTCAGATACAATCACTGTTATCCCCAAACCTGGACTTTCACTGGGGATGACACATGCTTTAACTCACTTTCCTATTTGCAGAAACACAGGATATTAATTTGCCACCTACTGTTCCAGTGCTGCCTAGCGACAGATGACTCATCTGCTGGGCCAGAGGGCTGATCATAGAAGCAGGTTGTAGTGACATGGTGTGTTCCATTGAGGGAGTTAACACGGCACCCTGGGAAGGGAAGGGAAGAGGAACAGAAGACAAATGGGGGAGAATTGAGATTCTGCAGCTATAATCTAAAAAGGAGAATCCTTTGTAAAGGCAAACACAACCTCCCTCAGCTTGCAAGAGGTATCCCAAGCAACTATCCTAAATCTTCCAGACTGATTTCCTGAAACTTTCATAAAAGGGTTAAGAGGGAATAACACTGTTATTTCATCCCACAGAAATCTGTGTGCTCAACTTGACCTAACTGTAAAGCCAGAAAGCCCAGCAGGAAGGGTTGTAACATGAAACAAACTGAGGACCATGGACTACAAGGGCTGCCAAATGTTAAAAGAAAGAAAAAAAAAAAGGAAAGAAAAAGAAGAAAAAAGGCTAGCTTTTGTTTTCTACAGCCACAAAATAACATGATCAAGAGAGCAGCTTGTTTATAGTCATCTGGTTCAAGACTAAGTAGTCAGGACCAAGAATGGGTTCTTCATTTACTGGTATTTCTCAGAACTCCCTGTTCCAGGTCTGGAAAGCCAATTCAGTTAGCAGGAGTAATTCCACTCCAGTACCCTGTTCACTTATTTTGCTTGGAACTTTTTTTGCCATTAAAATTCAAATTAAACGTGTGTAAGAAAACAGAGGGCAAGAAAAGAAGAAACCACTCATAATGTGGTTTTTCTAACAGAACCACTGTAAGCAGCTTCTACCTGGAAGCTGGACTCTACATCAGAGAACACGAACAATTTCATACTTTGGGTTCTTGTTTTTAACTTAGCTTTCTACTAGAAATGGTAACTGCCTTGCTGTCTTCAATTTTAATGGCTCTATCGTGCTATACAGACTATACAGCAACTAAAACTGAACGGTCTGGACATTCGTCTAAATTTCTCTAAACAATCAATGGGTTTTACATTTCCTCTCATTTCTGCAATCACCCAATTGCTATAGCAAGCAACTCCATGAATATGAAAACGTGGTTTGGGAATCACTGTAGCTGGTATTTGCTGATAATCAGATTCCAGTTCAGGGCACTGACAAGGTGTTTCATATGGCTTATATCTAGGTGGAGGAGAATAACACAGGTATCCCCAAACAGTTAAAATATATGTAGTGTTTGCCTCTAAAAGTCACACACACACACACACACACACACACACACACACACACACACACAAAAACAGTATACATTTCATTTTTAGAGTGTATCCTCAAAAGGCACAGAGTAATAAGACTGATTAGAAATCTAAATTATTAGAATCTAGATCATCCTTCATCTCCTTCATACTAAGGAGGCTCCAAATTAAGAGTGGGGTAACTTCTAGCTTTCCAAATTAACCATGACGTTTCAGGACACAGACTACCATGGGACACAGTCTACCATGGGACACAGACTACCATGGGAATGTGGGATGTGTCATGGACATCCACATGTAGGACGTGTGGATTTATGAACGTGTGTGTGTGTGTGTGTGTGTGTACAAGAGAAAGCACATGACACATTTTACTTGTGTCTGGAAGGCTCCCTCAACACTTCCTGTCCAGCACTTGTTAGTTCTCGATTGCTCTTTTTCCTACACTTCAGTGTCCATGTAGAAGAATCATGAGAGAAATCCCCATTTCATTTTAAGGCCAAGACCAAGTTCTTTTCCTAAACAAATGGTCTGGGTTTTGTATTATAAACGTTGTGATGTGTCCTGCATAGGAGAATGCCTATTTTGCACTGGTAACTAGAAACCAACGGGGCAAATCTGTGGCCTTTTTTGTAGCATTCTTAGACTGATCTGTGAGTTTCTTCTACACACTTGTTTTGAACTTTTGACTGTATGTTTAAAATTCAATGAACTGAGTTTTGTATATGTCTCAAAGACACATACTTTATAAAAATGTCTAGTATAATGCTAGAAATGCTGTTATACACCTTAGGATAATAAATGTTGAAAGCAATGAAGAAGTCATGTTTGTAATTTACAGAATGCACTGCTGTCTTGGCGCTTACCCACTCCACAGACAGGCCAAGCGACACTGATGAAAAGCTCTGCCTGGATCTGAACTTTATGTCTGAATTACCAAGAACATAAAGGGGAAGAGCTATTTCTTTCCATGCAATGCAAAACATCTGGTTACTCTGTTAATGGTATCCTACTGACCTGGCATGAGCACAGAATAGGATGTGTTTTAAGCTCTTATATAAAAATTAATGTCTATAAATAATTAATTTTAAGAGGAAGGTGAGTTACATTTCATAATAAACTGGCGTGTTTTCATACTCTATGCTTGAGTTTTCCCAGCTACCCTGCCATCTTTGGTACAGAGTTTTAATTCAACAAGCTACAGGCATAGCTTACTTGGGGGACAAGCCATTGACGTAAGAAACTTACAGGATGCTGCAGAATGTATGGTTGAGGTTGCATCCAAGAAGGACTCTGCACCTAGAAAAGGGAGGATTTCAAAAGAAACATTGATTTCTACTGCCAAAAGAATCTTTACTCTCTAGAATTCTTTTTAATTGTGTTAAAAAAAATCTACAGAAGAAAGATAAGGAGACAATACTATCAATTACAAAGGTTAAGGCAGTTAGAACTCTTGACAAACTGGTCACTCTAAATGAGATGAAGCAATCGTTTGGAACCAATGTCAGTTTGCCCACTCGGTGCATATTTAAGGAACATTAGGCACCAGGGAGCAATAATGGTAAGGCACAGAGGGGCTTCACCCTTGAGAAAGAGACTGTCTAAGCAAAGGAAATAAACATAGAAACAACCCAAATTAGTGAAAAGTGTTATAATCAAGGTATGAACTATGGTTTAGGAATACTGACAGATGATCATAGAACATTTAGTTAGACACTAACCCTCACAGTGCACACAGACTATTCTACTATTTATTAAGCATAAACCAAACACAATCTCTGATCATCAGGAAAGTTAAGATTAGCAATTTTGTGTAGTCCTCAACAATTTCTAGTTATCGAGAAGAGTGTCTGAAATGCAGACCTAGGATATCAAATGGGAGGTAGAGGATTGCAAGGTCAACAGTTAAGTTAAAAGGGCATCCACACGGTAACCCTCTGAACTGAGAAATACAATGTGAGGGTCAGGCTGGGTGGCGGGAAGGAAATGTCCATCCTGCCACGGGGAACTTGAGTCTGTATCTTGATGCCCACGGCTTTTCAAGGTCTATGGGATTTTTAAGGTACATTTCGATTTCCAGTTCTTATCAGCACCCTCCTGTGTTCTGTCCCTGAGTGTTAACTTCAGAGATTCTACAGAGAGAATACGGGGAAGAGTCATGGGGAAAGAATGTAGTGCGATTTACCTTGATAGCAGAGCCCCGATACTTGTTCTCTCTGGTTTCCTTTGCCACCTAAGGCAGACCAAAGTTAAGTGCTTCTGCCTTGTTAACATTTCAGTTATCTGGACTGCATCCTTTCCCCACTGGGGTACTGGTGGGTTCTTGCAGATGCCACTTTCTCAATCCAACTGCATAAGCATATGGTGGTTTAGTGGAGAAGGCCAACTCCAGCGAGTGTGGGCCCTTACGGACATACCATGAGAGGCACGCAGCTCCCTGAAAACCCCGATTTGGGCCAGATGCCCCCACTTCTGTATGCTTCTGTGGCCATGACTGCCTACGCACTTATAGTATGATAAGGTTAGGGAGCTATGACATCTAATCCCACGTTTGTACTTCAGCAGCAAAGTAGCCACTGTCAGTTTCTGTTCCTCAATGTTCCCTAGTTATAAAATGGGAATAATAATCTACTAACTTCTTACCATTGCTTCTTTGAAAACCTGAGGAAACAGAACCCCCATCCCAAACTAAGCATACATAGATAACATTTTTTTGCACACAACTTAAAGAGACCTCAGACTACTTGAGTCTCCTGCCCCGACCCCTGCTCAGCACTGACTGAGAGGTTATGCCTCTGACTGTCAGGCACGTGGAGTGAATTTCACATGGGTCTTACAAAACCACAGAATTCCCCCAGGAGGAAATGAACCCTTGAAATGACAGGCTGTCTGCAATTAGCCGTGTCCAGCTGGTTGCCAACACTGGCCTCCTGACTTTTTACTCATAAAATGGTTGATGGGCAAATGGCTTAAAAGAGGAAAAGTAAGTGGTAGACAGATGGATTAAGAGCTGGTGTACCTATAGCAACATGGTAACACAGTCTTCATTTGCTTAAGAGTGAGCTTATACTTGCCCTTATTTTTAATGACACAGAAATGACAGACGGTCATTTTCAGGTCATCAAAGACTACATTTTAGTATCAGCTATAGATGCTGGTTATGAGGAGAAATGTACTGTATCCACTTGTTCTCACAAAGAAACAAAGACAAGACAAAAATCTCAACTCCTAAACAGCTGAAGAGACATAAATAAATGAAAAGTGTGCCCAGAAGACTGACACTTCAGAGTCAGGTAACAACTCAGGGAGAAGAAAGGAAAGGAAAGGCGTGGAGGGTGGGAGAGAGGAAGGAACTAAAGTCTGAAGGTGGAGGCCATGCTGTGAGACTTTGCCTTCAGTATACAATCCCTTTTCGTTTTCAATGTTATTTTTCTAACTTTGACCCAGAGCCAACTTTGACACTGTCTTACATTGGCCATTACTGAAAAAGTGTAATTAACATGTAATGCTGCTGCTGCCAGTGCATGTTTAATATTAGTGACACGTCAGTACTAGGTGGAGCTCTTTTTATTTTCTTTAGGTGCTCGGAACTCTCTCTAGTTTATAAAAGCAGAAGCCATTATTATCCCCATTTTAAAGAAGAGGAAACTGAGGCTTGTTGTTATCAAACAACATAGCTGTTAGATCAGATGCTGTAGTCCCCTAACCCCTGACACCAGGACTACAACATCTAATTCAGTTTTCAAAACAAGAATACCCCAGAGTTTAGTCACACAAGACCCCAGCAGTCAACAGAAGAGAACTCTCTTGTAGGTCAGTAACTAACTCAGTGACAATGCTCTCGTCTGGGCCCAGGCCATACATCATGTGGGGAAGACTCTGTTACAGGAAGAGAAAGGCGCACCAGCCTTACTAGCCCTGCAATACTAACTGATCAGTGTTGGACAAGGTGCTTAACAAGGGTTCATGCCTGGTTGAAGGTAAAGCCTCCTCACAAAGTAACAGAAGAAGAGTCAACGACCTCTTGCTTCTTGGTCAGGGAAGGACCTGAAATCTCAATTGTATCAGTTCATGTCACCTAATAGAGACAATCTCTGTGTTCCTTTTATCTATTCTAGCTAGTGAAGAAACGAAAACAGGAGCCCACTTTCACTCTCCATTTTGTGACTCTCATAAAGATTCAATTTCTGGGATATGTGACGGAGAAAGTACAAGGGTTTATCCCAATCCTAGAACCATGTGATGATTCTAACCACTTCCCTGGCTTTACATTTTCCTACAAGGAAAAGCAAATCGCTATGCCAAATGAAAGGCAGCTTATTCCAAACTAGGTATCCAAGCTGCATCCAATTTGACTTAGATTTCATTTAAAAAACTGTTCAGAATTTGAAGACATATAAAAATGCCGCAGAGATGCATGGTGCACTGCTGACAAGTCCTGGGGTACAAACCTGGTAGGCAGATACAGGAGATGCAATATAGGGTGTAAGAGAAGTTTGAGTGATCATTCGGTTTGTGGCAATACTGTATGGTGAAGGATAAAATCTAGAACAAACACAAAAGCCTTTATTAAGTAATCCTTTCAATGGAATCATTCATGGAACAAAGTCTGACACCTTCCACCTTCACTGTCCCTCAAGCCATGATGTATTTATCCTAAAGACATACCCATTGTGTAGAGCAGCTGTAGTCGGGTCATAAGTGAGTGTCATTCCAGCCTTATGGAAGGAAGCAGAAGGAACCATGAGAACCCATCTGGGAAGGAGATGTCTAAAGCTGCATTTTGTAGACTCCCCAGAGCATACGATGGTAAAAGTCACATGTGTTAAAAGTGGGAGTTGTACTGTGCTGCCCTACACGGCAGCCATTACTGCAGAGAGCTACCGAAAATTAAACAGAAACCAATCTCTCCAGTGAAACAGCCAGACACCACTCAGAGGGCCCCATGTGGCTGACACTGGACAGCACACGTTCAAGATATTTCTCCACACATTCCAGGCTCCTTATGAAATCTTTAAACATAAAACTGTATTGAAATAAATACAAGGAAGAGGAAGCCCAATGTTGCATTAAAAAACTGAAGTTGTTTTCTTTTTGTTTGTTTAAAGAAAGCTTCAAAAGATTGTCTGTTTGCTTAAAAAGCAGTGTGTGGAGGTGAGGAGGGAAAATCATGATCAGAATATATCAGTATGGCACGACATTTTTTCAGTAACAAAAAAAAACCCCAAAATATAAAACTAAATTCTCAGTGACAAATATACTATTTACTGCAATGTTAAGGACAGATTCCTGAATTCTATTAATGAAAACCTACTGAAAAAGCTGTATATAAACCTGAAACCCTCCATGCTCACAATACATGCACATTCATCCTTTACTAACACAGTGTAGCTGGTTCCTTTCATCTACCTGCCCTCCTGGGGAATGGGCACCCAGTAACTCCAGCACCAGAGACAGCTGCTGTCAGCCCTTGAGGGTATGGCACCAGCAGGAAGGTTTAGTCTGCGCTGTTTCAGAAGCATGGCAGCCCAGTCATGGCGCCCTTGCAGGGCTTTCCATGAGAGTGCTCACGATCACACACTCACACTCAAGTTTCAAGGAAGGCCTTAGAGTCTCACCTCTCCATCTCTGGGCCATGGCCGTCCATTAGGGATGTACTTGTTTGGGTTCTGTCTCTTCTTCTGTCCTCCATCTGCAAACTTGCACAGTAAAGGTTCTGTAGGAGCTGTGAAGACAGGGTCGGATAATGTAAGCCCACAATTGTAGGAGCATCTGACAATATGTAAGGGGGTTTCTTTCAATAGAAGCACTGTTAGCACTATGAAGGAACACTTTAAGGCATGATCTCCTGCCTTATGAATCTAAGGATAAAGAGCAGTACCAGTTATTGTCTCAAACTGGAGAGTCAAAGAGAAGTCATCTCTAATCCCTCAGCACTCTCTGGACCCTACAGTTCCACCACTGGACAGTCAGCAAACAATCTCCAAAAGGAAGCTGGAACACTCCTCTGGCTTCCCAGACGGTGGTGCTCTGCCCCTGGCAGAGAGCAAGCCTGTGCCATGCCAATCACACCATGCTTCTATTTACAGCATGTTTAGCTGTTTGTGAGTGTAGTGACTACCTGTCTTTCCTCCCTGTCAGTTTTGTTATCACCATGTCCACAGTGTCTACAGTATGGTCACTTTGTAGATATTTATTATTGCTGGTTATGTCAATGGACAAATATGGAGGGGTGGGTCTCATTAGTACTTAAGAAAGCTGAAAGGGCTGGAGAGACAGATTAGTAGTTAAGGATGCCTGCTGCTCTTGCAGAGAACCTGAGTTTGTTTTCAGCAGCATCTATCCTTAAAACCACATGTATGTAACCCCAGCCACAGGGGAACCAATGCCCCTTTCTAGCCTGTTAGGGCACATACATGCATGTGAGCACAAGTATATGCAATACACTTATGCATGAATGAAAAATTTAAAGTTACAAACACCTGCTCTGCTTACTTAAAGGTACTTCAATGTCCCAGGTCCTCTCATTTAGCTGTTTTACCATCCGTTCAACCACAATCCAAAGAGACACCCAAGAAAGGAACATACACAAAAATTATGGATGCTCACTGAAAAGATATGTTCATGAGAGCCAAGGGAGAAGTGAGATGCAGGTGGAACAACAGGCCACCCCCGGCTTCTCCTTCACTTTGGCACGTTCCTAGAAGTTGTGTGTTTCACTATATGTTTCTAGTTAATGTAATAAAGGTTCTCACACCCTCCTGTCTGGCTCCTGCACTCACTCCTTTGTCTCCTGAAGAACCATGATTATTCCTTTCAAGTTCTCTTTCAAAGTTAAATAACCATGAAGAGAAAAACATTACTTGTGGAAAATCTACTCCTTTCTCCTTTGCCTCTTATTATCCTAATTCATCTCTTATTTGATATCACTATGATCCACCCACTAATGACAGGGTGCAAACCATCGTGTCTCTTACCACTTCTCTGCCAAAAAACACAGCACAACAGGAGCTGCTATCCCTCCCCAGGGTCTAGAACTCTGCATCTGTCCCTGGGATGCTCCAGACGTAAAGCACTTCTAAGTGGATGTGCTATGGTGTAGATAGAGTTCATCTTCCTCTGGTTCGAATTTAGTCCCCAGTGTGGCAATATTACAGGACATGGCTTGGCAGGAGGGCCTTAGGCCACTGGGGCTACGCCCCCAGAAGCATCGAGGGTGGTTCTCATGAGATCTCAAGTTTTCCCCAAAGTGAGCAAAGCCACTAAAGAGCTTTTTGTCTTGTAAGTACCTTTTCCTGACTGCCACATAGTCCTCACTAGAGTTAAGTTGATGCTGACACGAGACTCTTCAACCTCCTGAACTATGACCTAAATAAACTTCTTGTTTATAATGGCACTTCACTTCAGGAATTTTGCTATAGTAATAAAAAATGGACTGATAATAGTATAGGAGGAGTTAATAAAAACCTGCTAAGTGTTTGATAAAAATACCCTCTTGTTTACCTTCTGATTCTAACTCTTCTATTCCAGGCTTTCATGAGTAAGGAATTCTGTTTAATGCAAACTGAGCATTGTGGAGATGAATGGGCTGAGGCCAACATTCTCCTATGTAACTGAACTATACCACTTGTCCAATCAAAACAAGGTGATCCCTTTTGGGACATTCTACCTTTCCAATAACTGCCAGAGGTAAACGTACTGACGTGGTAGAGCAACAGAGCAAGACAACTCTGTAATAGCTACTTACAGTCCTATTAACTCTATAACTGGACCATCGTGCGACAGAAGGGAACCAGGGCTGAGAATGCGGTATCCAACCAAAAGATGCAGATAAGAGACTCACCCTTCTGAGAGGACAGACCGATCACATCTGATGTGTCCCTTAAGTTCCAGGCAATAAAAATGAGTACTTAAGCCCCACTACTAAAACCACCTCTCCCAGGAACCTATGTGAGCAAGCTTGTGGCCATGAATAGAAAGGGCCATGGTGGTAGAAAATACCCCAGTTGATGACAAAGGACAAATCAACAGGTCATCTGGGACAGGCAAGGTCCACTGTTCTCAGCCAAGTGCTGTGCCAGGTTGTATGATTTAGTTTTATATGATCTCTCAGGGTGAGAAGCTGGAACTGTGTCCATGTTCACAGCGAGGAGAAGATGCTGTCATTAAGATTTTTCCCCCCTCTCTAAAAGCCAACAGTAAGTAGCTAAAGCAGTGTGCATACTGGCAGTGCTCACTTCAGGCAGACCCCTAAAGAACTGCAAGCCGTTAGACACGGTATGTCTTGCAGACATGCAAGCTTCCTGTTTCACCAAAATCAGAGTGCTGTGTATTCCACGGGACACAGTAAAAATCCTAGCAGATTTCTTCTTTCAGAATTCTCTTTGATCTACTTAACTCAGTGTCTACTATGTGCTAGGTCCACAGGAGCAGGCTGTGCAGTAGTCTATAAATCAGATTTTCCTCAGGGCTTGTGTGTTATGTAGATGAGGGTGTGCCCACTCTTGTGAAAGCCTGCTTACTCGTCAATAGGATAGAAGACAGTGGAGACAAGTGTGCTTTAATAAAAATGCTCCACCGAAACAAGTACAGATGCAAGAACAGCTGACATTCTTTCCTGACACTACTGCACTGACTTGGGGGGCACTGGTAAGAAAGAGCTCATGCTTACAAACTCTTCATGCCTTGTTTACTACCAAGACCACCCACTTGTCTTAGGAGAATCAAGTCACACAAAGTTAGGGAATTTCGTGGTGTTCCTGATGACAAAAGGTTTAATTCACTGTAACTAACACTTCTCTTGGCACTGTGAAACTCTTGAATGAGTTTGCTTAGAGTTTTTTGGGCAGGAGAAGAAGATGTGGATCAGATTTTTCTATTTTGTTTACGTGTGTGCAAACCTGTTACAGAATGGGCGGCCTTGCTTCATTGGCCTTTCTGGTGTTTCCATACCAGATCACAGTCAGGTCTTTTGCTTGCCTCTGGAAGCCTAAAGCACAGGTTCCAGGCCAGGCTAAAGAGTCAGGAGTTCCTGTGTGATGTCAGCTTATTCTATGGCACAGACCCTTCAGACAGCCTACTGTCTTTCAGTAAGGAGAAAATGAGGCACCAATGTCATGCAGAAGTATCAGAAATAGTGAGCAATAGCTAAGTTTGGCTGGATGAACTTTACAGGATTAGTATGTAACAATCTTTAACATGATCATTTTTCTAGAATTATCATTCTTTTTTACTTTATTTTCAATTATATGCATGTATATGTTCATATGAGTGCATGTGCCCATGGAGGGTAGAGACCAGAGGTGTTGGATGCCCTGGAGCTTGAGTTACAAGCAGTTCTGAGCTAGTCAACATGCATTCTGGGAACTAAGAAAGAGTTCTGAGTGCTCTACACTGCTAAGCCATCTCTATAGCTCCTTGAATAGTAAGTAATCTTCACTTCGCTGTGCCAAAGGGTAATGGCAGATGGTTTCTGTGCATGTGTTGTATGTATATATGTATGTGTATATGTATATGTATATGTATATGTATATATATATATGCAAGCCTACATGGTGATGCTTGGTATCTTCTTCCTCTATCAGTCTCCACCTTTTTCTTTTAACCCCAGCGATCCTCATGTCTCTACCACTTTGGTGCTAGGACTATAGGCGCATGCTTGCCCATGGCCTATTTCTTATGTGGGTGCTAAGAATAAAAACTCAGGTCCTTAGGCTTATGGGTCAAAAAGTGTATTGACAGAGCCATCAACCTAGCCCTTGATACGTTGTTTTTTATACATTCCACATTAGCAAAACATATAAACATATAAATAACTACCCTGAACCAACTGGCTTTCCCAAGGGTAAGCTCTGCCATCTTGTGTGATTTCTCAGGCCACAATCTCTCATCACTCAACTCAGGAAAGTTATTTTCTTATGCATCAGACCAACAGGAACATGCACCTTCCAAATTCTGATGACTACAGTGTTACCTTGAGGACTGCTAAGGGCCCCAGGCAGAACCCCAGATAGACACTGATCTCATATTTCCTGGCATCACTTGAGAGCCATCTAAGGTAATGGGACTATTAGTTTTTCCAGTCTCTGAACAGAGCTGGAGCAAGAGGCTCTTTATACACGCCTGCCTGTGTGATGCTGGCACTCTCTACTAAGAGAGCAGGAGTGGCTATACCCATAATGCCTTGCTGCACTCTCCATCTTGTATATTATCAGCTTCCAAAGCCCAGGCTGTGAAGGCCTGTGTTATTCATACTAAACAGCACTCCTCAGTGCCTGCTGTGAGTGCTGTGGTACAGAATGGAATCTTTGCAAGCCACTGTGTGTACCTAGCTATCTTCCCTCATGGGGTCAGCTCTGCCGTTCACAAGAGAGTAGACCATTTCCCCAGTGCATGTTAAATGAGGTTTTCTCCATGCTTTAATGCTCAGATGTTGACAGCTGGAGATGGGAACAGCTGGAGAGCCCACTCCTTCTAAATTCCCCACTTTGCTAGTTGTTCAGTATTTGACCTTAGCCATCCCAATGCAAAATGTAAACTGCCCTTGGCAAGTCTCTTCACCTAGTCTGGAAAACCAGCATACTCAGCCACCATAGTCAGCTTTTCTGATAATGGCTACTTTAAAAAAATGCCCTAACACAGTGAGGTGACCATAGTGGAGAGAGAAATGGAAGTTCCCAGCAGCCGCAGGAACCATTTTTACTGTAGAGCTTTCCCCATCTACTT